GCGAATCCTGACCTTATACCCTACCCAATTCTCCAAGTCCGTAGCACTTATGAGGGTGTCGCTGAGTCGGTGGCCTCTCGTTACGTAAGTACTACATCAACATTTCCTTCCATATCCCTAGTTATGGTAAAGATGGGCGTGGCCGGGAATAGCGACAGTCATGCTTCTGTTACTCTTGTTTAGATTGGAACCAATGTTTACTCCCCAGCATTATTCCTGAAAGTAGTCTAACTGAGAATTTCAGAAGAGACGTGAGTGTCGCTAGTATCCAATCTACGAAGTATACTGTAACAACGCTAACGCTACTGTGCATCTGATAGAATAAACATCCTTAGCCAGATGTTGCTGTTGGTTTGCCTAACTATGTCTTCATCCGTAAGAAATCGACGTTTAATGTCATTATTTACATGTGGTTCATAAGCCTTTTTCACATGTTCATCTAGAAATTCAAATTTTTTTTTTGAAAATTGAGCGTTCGAGAAAAATCAATTTGTGTTTTACAGTGGATTTTTTTCAGTGTTTCAATGAATTTTTTTTTTAATTTTTTTTATATGTTAGTTCTAGCAATTTTCTGAAATTCATCCTTGAACGTGATTTGTGTAGATTATCATTCTTGAAGATTAAGATAGTAGTTTTAGATATTTTTCGATTTTTTTGCAAAAACATATTATTCAAAAATTAAAACACCTACACAAATTTCGCTGAATGGTGGATGATAGGAAATTGTCCGATTATTTATTTAAAATATATTACAAATATTTTTTTTATTGCAACACTAAAAAAACCCATTATAAAATTTCAAAATGATCGATTTCGAAAACTCCATTTACAAAAATCAAGCAATGTGTGCTTGAAAACACAGTTTAATTCTATATTGAACTGGAATAAGTGCATAACTGCTTTTGTAAACAATGACTTCTGTCGATTATTTCAAGAAAGTAAAGTCTCGCTTACGCAAACCAACATCACCATCGAAGCCTTCTCCTACCCGATGGGGATGTTGGATTGTGTGGGGGGGGGGTCCTGAATTCCTAGAAGCCATCAAGAGAAGTTGTTGATTACAAAAGCAGTTAGACCATAGAGGTAACTCTAAGACCAGCAGGTCCTGAAGAAACGTGCTCAACTTTTTGGCTCAGCTCTGGTACTCTCTTCGGTCCCAAGCTAGTCGATTCACCCCTCGAAACATACGAAAATCCAATAACCCCTCATTTTATCTGTCAAAATTTCATAGCGAATCAAAACAAAAATTGTGTAGTACTAGAATTTTGACTAGAATGGGGTACGTTAATCGATTTGCTTGGGACCAATAGGCTAGTCAAGTAGTGAGCCAATTTAAAATCGTTAGTTTCGTATTGATTGTTGGTTAGACCCTTATTCCAGCTCAATCTAGAATTATCTTCAATCCATCCATACATTGCAAGATGGGCACTCTCTCACGAAAAATGACATCCTAGCAAAAACTGTGTCACACCTGCACACTACCCAAGTAACAATTTTGGTTTTTTTAGGGTTCTGTGGACCATGATTTAGACTTGTAGAATGCTATAAAACCCGAATAAAACTTGCAACGTTACTTGGGTAGATACTACGAAGGGCCCATTCGTAAATTACATAAAGCGGAAAACGACATTTTTCGACCCCACCCTCTTCATAACAAGTATAATACAACCCATCAACCCTTACCGTAACGTGTAACGCAAACCAACCGGGGGCACCATTTTCGTCGAGATTCTAGTACTACAATCTGTTTGTTTTGATTCTCTGGGAAAATTTTTCAGATAAAATGAGAGGTTCGTGGATTTTCTTATGTTTTGAAAGGTGCTTCAATTAGCTTGGAACCGAAGATAGTACCAGAGCTGAGCATGTTTCTTCGGGACCCCCTAAGTTCTTTGAGTCCAGACATCAAAAAGTTATTGTTAGAAAAATTATTTTCCTATAAAATTGCCTATCTTGCAATATATGGACGACTTGTGATTAAATGGATTGTTTTTCTTAAAAAACAAATCAGAATTTAAGAAATGGAATATTTTTTTTAAAATCACCTTAAAACTTTTTAAATGGTTTTTTTTTCAGTGTAAGTATATAAATTTAATTATTAATATTTTTGTACTAAAGTTTAGCCAAATTGCTTAAATTCATCCTTCACCAATTGCTTATTTTCTCATTATTTCATTGTACTTTGCATGCTACTCTCTTCTTCGCTCCGTTCGAGCAATTCCACTCGCGAAAAGCAGAGAAGATAACGGCGCCGGTGGTGTAGTGGTAAGCGTGATTACCTCTCACCCCAGCAGGCCTGGGTTCAATCCCAGTCGGCGCCGCCGGGATGTTCTGAGGCATAACATCTCTGATCAGCCCTTCCTTCGGATGGGAAGTGAAGCCGTTTGTCCCCGGTTCATGAGTTGATGGGTCGATAGGTAGGGTTCAGGTGTGGGAGCTGCCTTCTTGGCACGTCGGTAGCATTGGTGCTCAGCACGGAAAACAAGATCGACGGAAAAAAAACAAACCAAAGGAAGAAAAGCAGAGAAGAGTAACTCACCAGCCCGACAGCAGCCAGTTCGTCCGACGGCATTCTTACTGGGTCGTATAGCACATGTGCATATGTCTCTCTCTCTTCCAAACAGCCGCTTGGAAGTTTGCTTTTACCATTGGTGCTGACGATCAGCAGGCACATGGTGTATTACGCGCGCGATTTGGTTTACGCGGTGACTGGTTTCAATGGTTTAGACTTGTGATATCAGTGAGCTGATGAGCTGTGGTTCCTAAAAAATGAACCGCGGGTCATCAGCTCACTTTAGAGAATCGGGTCTATAGAACAGCTCGGGAGCGGATCGCGCATCTCTAGTACCACCACCTGTGGTGCACCTAGTAAATTCTTCGTGCTGTCAAATCAGCCTACTGATCATTCTTGTATGAAACTGGTTCCAAACGTAAACAAACGCTGTAGGTTTCTTATGGCTTGTTTACGTTTGGAACCAGTTATGCGAGGTAGGCGACGATTGTTCGTATTTGACAGCCACCTCCACCCCTTGAGTAAATTCCCTTGCGTTTGACGTTTACACACTACGCCATCTGTTCAGCGTAGTGCCCACCACAGTGTACTCAACAGATGGCGGTAATGTTTTAGCGACGATGTCTTACATTGAGAAATATTCAATAAGTTATGTCTGTTTGTCTGTGATTCAACCATAACGAAAAAACGGTTTTTTCCAGGACCACCATAAATTATTGATGTTAAAGAGTTAATTTTCATTGAACGTTCGCTCGCCTTGCTGCCAGCCACATCACCCCCAAAGCTCTTTGATAATGTACCCAGCAATCAAACGTTTGTGGTCAAATGCGTCAAGTATTGAAGTGGTACATAAAAATTCTCGCGATGACCGAATACCTCATGACCATTTCAAATAACGAGAAACACTTCGCAAGGTTTTCTCTAGGACGCTAGAAAAAGCAATTAATCTCGAATTTATATGATTGATCGCGATTGGAAAAAATTTAGCAAGAAAATCCTCCAGTCAATTTTCGTATTTTTTTTTATTATCTATTGAATAAACCAAAAGCTGTGTGCGTTTTAAGCACAAAAATGCGTAATTTTGACATCAGAAAACATGGCGAAAATTATGTCTTAAAAAATCTTGCCAGATTCTCTTAATAGAAGTGACTTACAATTTGCATCAAAAAGCATAAACGTAGGTACCGTCCGGTAGGCTCAGATTCTGTGATTGATATGTTTTCCTTAATACATATTTCATTTCCGCACCACTATCATCTCCAAGAATATCGAGGACAAATTTTTCTAAACTTGTTCTAAACTTGTTCTAAACTTGTTTTCAAGCTTCCAACCCATCGGACCAAAAATGACTGATAAAAAAGTTAACTAAAGAGTAAGTGCTTGTATCCAAGACATATCGTCCAGGATTGGCTAGTACTACATGGACATCGACAGAGCACATCAAAAACAGAACTCTCAAATTGCTTCCGAATTTCAACCTATCGATTTTTTCACTGATGATGAGTTAAGAAATCAATTTAATATTTACTATACTTTTGCTGTGACATCAAAACTACCTTTCGTAATCCTACGTCAAATGTGCGGTCGTGTCTTGGATGCAAGCTCTTACTTTTTTTTATCGTAATATCATCAGAGATGGGATAGGGTAGAGTCGGTGTATAATGAGTCACGCCAAGAGAAAAACAGTTGAACTCGCATCACGGTTTTCGAAATATTTCCTTTCTTTTCACTTGGCAACAGAGGACTTCTACATCAACTTCAAATGACTTCTAGCGAGAACAAAAAATAGCGTCTGTAGTTAATCATTATATCAGTGATTATGTCAAATTATTTTATCAAAAAATAATAAAAATTTCCATTACTCATCATTATCAAACGTACCCCATGACAATTTAATGCATTTAATGCGTGTTTATGATCATTTCTTCGATTTTTTTTTATATTTTATTGCAATACCTTTCGTGGACCTTGCATAGCATCGTTATGTTTGTTTACTTTGCACGATAGGTAGCCGGTTTGACAGTTCAATAGGTAGACTTGGCTTCACTCTTGGCGTGACTCATTATACACCGACTCTAGGATAGGGGTTCTATCATGATAGACTGAGAGAAAATCTATCAAATAGAAGATGATATTATCACCATTTATCAGATACTGTTGATGCCTGATCAACACTATCATTGTGTTGGTCGAAGTGCTTTGATCAATTTAACCCCACTCTACGGTATATTAAATCATAACTACCAATAAGTACTATGATGCTGCCTAACCCCCACCAATGGATGGTTACACTTCATCACCATAACCTCGCCGACCCTGACTAACCGAAACGGCTTACGTCATCCCATGTTGACCCACGCACCCCTGAAAACCTGTTCCGAAAATTTACATTTTATTGTTTAGCCACCAAACAAATCATCATCACCATTTAGCACAGTTTCAGCTGACCAAACGTAAACAGCAACTATAAATACACTTTCGCATCACTTACCGGCATAGAACAGAAACAGGACAACTTTGAGCGAGATGAGGTTTTTGTTGACCAGCGGCTTCTTGGCAGGTGGCGCTCCCATTTTGATGTCACTTTTCGCACCTTACTTCTACAGGAGCAACTGTTTTCTTATCACTGTTTTGTTTTTTTTCCTATATTACTACTAAACACGTGTCCTTTCTTTCACAGCACACCTTCAGAACGCTGCTGAGACGTGTGTTACTTCTGTTCGCACGATAACTCAACTTGGGAGTGGTTCAGCAAATGTTTGGACAGCATTGATCCATTTCTTTCATCACCATCACCATCATCGGTGGTCAGGGAAAGAGTTGCCTCCAAGATCGTAAAACGGCAGGAACGAGCGGGGCTTGCGCTAGCGGAAATAGAATGATCTAAGAGTCTCCAAGTTTCGGATTTCCCGACGGTCGGTAGGTGCCTTCTTCCTCGGGTGTCTTCTTGGTGTTGTTTAGTATTTGTTTGCCTCGACCGCCGTAGGCGTCTTTGCTGCCCCGGGAAAACGCGAGGGAAATCTGGAAACGGAAACGGAGAAATAGCAAATCAGTCAAAACGTCTCGGTGTGTGTGTTAATGGTTATGATGGTGGGTAATAGACTTATAGTCGGTACATATAGACAACGCCGACTGGCTGGTTCTGGTTGGCGTGCGGTCGGGGCCAAGCCAGTAGCGCGGATTTGGGTTAATGGTGTGTCGTCAGACTGGGAGTGGATCTCGAATGTGTATAGATTTGGCGTCTGGCAGAAATGAGCGGCGAATTATGTGACGATGATGCGGGAAAATTAGATAAGTCATCGCCTTCCGGGCACTGCGATAAATTGTTTGGATAATGGGAAAGGCGGCTTTCTCATGTCAGTTCGGAATCGTATTGAAATGTAGCTTAAAACTAAATCAAGGGAAAATCTCTGTAAATTTCTCACAGTACATATGGTTGATTCCAAAGATCTGTTTATATGCCGTATAAAGAAGCACTATATCAGAAGCAATCATACATATATGTTCATCGTTGCAAGTTCCAAAGGCGTGTGATGATGAGAATATAAATTGAATTTGATCGTTTTCCGAATACATATGAACTGCAGTTGGTTACTCAACAGGAGGGAATAGTAGCACGGGATGGGTAGGTACGGTTGGTTTGTATGAAAGTAAAAATAAACTCTAATCGTGACCACCCATTAAGAAGCTGTCGGAATCAGAGTTGTGTTTTCTAAAAATTCTGAGACTGGGTGACGATTTGGCGGTGTGTTGTTTACGGCTAGAATAATAGCATACACACGGTCATGTGTGAGTAAGTGATTGCATCAAAACATGGGTGGACATGTGGGTGTAACATTTTACGACAGTTTATTCGGGAGCACATTGTTTTCCGGTGCACATGTGGTCGCTAATTTGCAGCAGAGAAAAAACTTTATTGAAAGTGTTTTATTCGTTTCCTGTTCGAATAAACAAGCAACTGGATACAATAGAGGCATTTCGCGCCAAATCGAATCGAAGCTGGCAGCACCCTTTCAGATTTAAATAAAATTTTCTAGATGTGTAGACTTTGACTAAATAAGCACTTTTGCATACTCAGTTTTTCCAAAATTTATCTAGACTAACATTTGAGAAGGGCCAAACTTTTTCTGCCGATTTTTTTCAAAAAAAAAAAAATTATGGAAAAATGACAACTCCAACAAAAATATGTTGTATGAATGACTTTTAGGAAATTGACCAAATTATCGAAAAAAAAAAATACTAAAAAAAATTTCATTCGAGGCCTACACTGAAAAAAGTCGATTTTTAAAATTTAAAGTCGATTTAAAAAAAAAGGCCATCTTTTGATTTGGATGAAACTTTGCCTCAAGATAGGTAATTATGTTAACTACCATCCGTCCATACATTGCGAGATGGGCACTTTTAAGGAAAAAAAGTTTTTCTTACAAAAACTTGTTCATGTCTGAACTGATTTTTTAACGTACCATTTTTACACAAAACTAAACCAGTGAAGTTCAAAATCATCTCAGAAACCAATGAAGCTCCATTTGTGATTCAATTTTGTCTAATCAGCAACTAATCACTTGGATTAATCGAGAATTCCATACGAAAAGGGCTTATATCATTAGAAAATAATATAATTGATTATATTGTCTACTACTGAGGCAAAATCCGATACTCCTATAGCAACTTAGAATTCTTAGCTCATATTATCCATAAAGAATTAGGTATGAATAACATTTAAATTGAGATCTTCCTTCGAATCAACAACGATTTGGGAAGTCAACGTATTGCATCATAATTCTATATGCCCTTCTGTTATTTATACCTAAACCATCAACATTATATACCTACCACTTCATTCTACCTATGAGCACTATAAAACTAAGGTTGATTTCATACAAGCAGCAGTCAATCTGATAAAGAAAGTTGTGAAGACAAGTTGTAGTAAAATTTATCTCCAATTTCATCGAGGAACATGAGGAGCATGGATTATCGTTCAATAAAATCTCTAGAAATTATATAAGCAGTGCGAAAAAATATATTTGGCCTAGATACAGCAGACATTGCAAAGTAGAGGCATACGAAGAAATGATTGTGCAGCTACAGGAGAAGTTCAATTCCCCTACAACTGACAGAAAAGATCAGATAACAGTCCTATGAAATCCATCTTTTCTCAATAACTTTTTTATTTGAAATTTATCATGAAAGTCATCTTCTAGAGAGCAAGTGTTCACTCGGCTGTCGACAAAAGCAGACCACTCTCGATGTGTGCTACGCGATCGTCTGTTTTCTCGGCAGCAACCATTGTGTGGTTCTCCTCATTGTTCTTCATCAGCAGTTCTTTCGGTCGATGCGTCGTCGACTTTGGAAAGCAACCGTTTTGTGATGAGTGTGTGAGTGCTGACCACGTTTTGCGTCCATTGCTGCAATGGACGCGCTCTGACCCTCGTTGGCGTTCAACAATTTGCCATACAATGAAACTACTGGAAGCGGCTCCAGTTCTGATGGAGGAGGCTTTTTGGATAGCGGAAGATAAAGTGTTTATTGTGTTGTACCTTTTGACTATATTTTTAAGATGTATTGTATAGTGACCATGAATCCTCGGCTCTGTAAAGTTAATTCGGTTGAGCCTTACCAAATAAATTAATGAACAAAAAAAAAAAAAAAAAAAAAATCTTCTAGAGACTTTTAAAACTCTCTCTGCCTGTATCTCTTCTAATAAAAAATATATACCCAAATATAGTAAAAAATATGAATAGATTCAAATTGATTTTATACGAGTTTAAAAAATAACATACCTCCAATTTTGTCATATTATTGAGAATAACATACGCCCTTTCAAATGCCGTAAAAAATTTTTTTTTTGTTTGCCCCAACCAGAGATATTAACATTTGAAAAGTGCATATTTTTAGTATAAAAACGTCAATTACTCTTGATCGGCGAAAGATATTGATAAACTTTGTGAGGCGAAAATTTGCGCCTTCTTAAGATCTAAAAGTTATCTCAGGACATCTTTGCTGAGAAATTTAAAATAAGAAAACTAGAGCAAAAAAACTGTTTTTTTAAGAGCCACCCTAACTCAATTCAAGAAAATATCTCTAAATCGGCCAATTTAAGAGATACAAAAAAGTTATCTTCGACAAAGTTGCTTGAAATTAGCTCAACTATAACTTTGCCTAAGAATGTGTACCTTAATTTATTCAAACAAAAAAGTTAGATTTTTGATTTTAATGATAATAGGAACCACCCTAGAATTCATTGTCATAAAAATAAGGGCCTAACTATAAGGAACAACTTTGTAGAAGAGACTTTTAGTCTAAAGTTTCAATTTCAGGCTCAAAACATCATTCCACCTAAATCTGCATTCTGGACCACTGTGCATTGGTGGCACTCTTAAGCGAATAGCAAAGAGAGCTAGTCTTGCTCGAGATTGTAACCGATGGTTCCATAATGTGGGCTTGTGACTCTATCACAAGTGCACTCATAATCGACTGTATAACAGTGTTGTAGAATGTCCTAAATCCAACTCTGCTGTTGGTCGCTCACTTTCCCATACCTTTCCATTCGCCTGCGGTACCACTCACTCTCATCAAACTGGTTGACAGCAGGCGCTCTGCCGAAAAGGTTGTCCATATATGGGGTAAGGGGAGAGACAACGACGGGTGAAATAAATATGTAAATACAGCAACATTTCGGGTCTGCTCGTATTTCGTGGTTTTTTGCGGATTATTGCTTGGCATGTTAGCAGGAGTCAGGTTAATTCTGTTTCAACCGCACTCGGGAACAGACTCAGTGCGCGACGTGCTAATTTTCCCAAAGGTTCGCTGAAAGGGCGAGGTAAAAATGTGTAGTGTGGTTTTTTTTAAATAGTGTGTTTTGTTTAATTACAGGTCTAGGGCTAGTAAAAAGAAAAGTTAGTAGTGTCAGTCGTGTTTAAAAATTTCGTTAGTAAAAGTGGTTAGTAGTGCTAGCTGTAAAATTAGAACTGAAAATAATGTGTTATATTGTTCTTTAATGTTAGGGTAGTTCGACCAATTGTCACCCCAAACTGACGGTTGACTGTTACCGTGCAGATAATTCTAAAAGAAAAGGTAAATTTATGTACATTTATTGTAAATTTGTGAAAAAAATTATGTATTGTATGAGTAATTATGTGGTTGGTTTGGTTTTGAAAGGGGCAGGCTAATTAAATGTGTATGGCGAGGTGCTAATAAGCGTGGTTAGGTCCACAAAGGGCCTTTTTCTTTTCTTTGGCAGCATTTGTCCTGGAGCGAGCGCCATTGTGTTCGAGGTCAAAGGACAAGCCCGGCATTATTAGCGAAGCCATTTTGCAAAGGCCACGTTGCAGCGGTAAGTCCATTGTGACACGCGTTCGGGATTGGTCCTCCAGCTGGGTTCAGGAGAACCAGCTTGGAGCAGTGCAGCAGTCGCTACCGCGGGTTCTAACGAGCCAATATCGTCCCGCTTCTTTCTCTTCCGCCACCCTCTATGCTGTTTTGGTTGCCACCGCTCCGCGAACTGCATGCACCGGGCGAGTTATCACGCAATCGCCACGCAGTCACCAGAATTAGACCAATTAGTGATTCGCCAGAATAACCACCACCCGCTTCATCACCACCACCATCGCCCCATCGCCACCACCACCGCCACTGCCGAGAAACCCCGAAAACGAAGCCAAACCGCAAGTAAAATGTGACGTCACAATGTTAAAAACTATGTATCGTAAAATCTAGAATATAATGCTATTGTACATGTAATTTTCTTAGTCCAGAACTTTTCATACTAGTTGAAAATCTCACTACCATTTCTTTTGTGTATCGTTCTCCGGACTCGAAAGGAGTCTTCATGCCTCCCTCCCTTTGTGGTTTATTCAGTAGGAAATTGACTCTGTGGCTTTTGAGCATAGAAAACCATAAGTGAATCATTCATGTTTTCTTTCCCCTTTGCCCTGTTTATGGACAATACCCTATCGTCGTGAGTTACTACTGACAGCATAGATTGAAGAGTGAGAGTGGTATACCGTATTCCTTCCTTCCGA